GGACAGCACATATCCACAAGCACATATTCAGAAATAGGTCTCAAGTGCTGCCAAAGGTGGCCCCAAAACAACAAAACATTTTTTAAGGATTTGAGGTCTTAAAATGAGAGGATCATGAAAGAAAAATATCTAGTGAAAAACATAAAGTCAAATTTGTTTCTTCTAAGTAGCAAACAAAACAAAACAAGAGCTAGCCAGATAATCGTTTGCTTATTTTCCCTCATATATATGATATATTAGTATAATAAATTAATCCGATAACATTCTAAAATCAGGGCATTAAATTAATTCATGCATAAGATTTCTGTGGCAATGGTAGTTGTAAGTGAAAAATCAATTGATACCTTCGAGTTCCAATGATACTAGATTGCTCCCTGTGAGCAATTAGTAAACATTTTTCCCTAAAAGGTTTCTTCTTCATATATCTACTAAGTCCCTTTCTTTCAGTTTTTCCCTCAGATGAAGTATGTCCTTGCTAAGCTTGAGTCTGGTGGATCTATCAAGAGGTGATAATGCGGTGTTGAAGTCTCCCTCTAGTATTGTTTTGCTATCTATGTCTTTCTCCAAGTCTATGAGTTGTTTTAAGTACTTTGATGGTCCCTCATTAGGTGCATATACATTTAGTATTGTAAGTTCTTCCTGTTGTACAGATCCCTTGATCAATAAGAAATAGGCTTCACTGTCTCTTGTGACCTTCTTCAGTCTGAAGTCAATGTGGCCTGATACTTGGATGGCTACCCCAGCTTTTTTTTATAGGAGTTGTTTGCCCGTAGGATTGTTTCCAAGCCTTTGATTCTGAGCCTGTGTTTGCTTTGACTATTGAGATGTGTTTCTTGGAGGCAGCAGAATGTTGGGTTCAATTTTCTAATCCACCCTGACACTCTGTGTCTTTTACTTGGTGTGTTTAGCCCATTGATGTTGAGAGAGATTATTGTTATGGGGTTTTGTCCCATTTTTCTGTTGAAATTTGGTGTATTTGAGGGGCCTGTCTTGTCTTAAAGTAGACCATTTAGTTGCTCTTCTAACTGTGGTTTTGAGTCTATGAAGTTCCTGAGCTGTTGTTTGTCTGTGAAACTGTGTGTTGTTCCTTCTGTTATGAGTGAGAATCTCGCTGGGTAAAGCATTTTTGGTGAGGCATTTATTTAATTGAGTTTTTTCACTGTATCCCACCACTATATCCCAGCACTGTTCACAATATCCAAAATCTGGAAACAACTGAAGTGCCCTAGAACAGATGACTGACTAAAGACACTTTGGTACATCTACACAATGGAATCTATGAAGCTGTCAGGAGAGATGAAGTCATGAACTTTGCTTATAAATGAATAGACATGGAGAGTATCATGCTAAGTGAAATGAGTCAGAAAAAGAGGGCCAGACATAGAAGGACTGTACTTGTTTGTGGAGTATAGAACAACATAACATGAGGCTGACTCCTAAGGACAGTAGATACACAGGACAAATAGATTGCTTCATAGCTGGAAGCCTGCCTCATGAGCAAAGGGGAGAAGGCAGCTGGATTAGAGAAGGGATCACTAAGAAAAAAGATGGCTGGATGAACCATTCGGGATGGGAGATGTGTGAGAAAGTAGATAAAGGAGCAAACATGATAACCTCTCAGGGTCTGTATTGAAAACCGTAATGCCCAGAAGTAGAGAGAGATTATGGGGAATCATATCTGCCATGGGTGGCAAAGGGAGGGTGGGGAAGGGGGGTTATAACGGGGATATTGGTGGTGGGGAATGTGCACTGGAGGAGGGATGGGTGTTTGATCATTCTGTGAAAGTAACCCAAAAATGAAAGCTTATAACTGTCTTACCGTGATTAAATAAAATTAATAAGAAAAAATTTTCTTCTTCAAATTATCAGGCGTTTATTATTAGAATACCAGTTCCACCAATTAAAGAATTCTAATTAGCAATTTTTTTGTAAAGCCAATATGGTTGCCTAATTAATCCTGTTTATCAGGACTATACCCAGATTTAAGTTATTAAGGGAGCCCAGCCATTCATTGTCAACACATTTCAATTCAATTGAGTTTGCAATTTGGACACTTGAATTGTTTCAAAGGCATTCTGTTGGCCAAGTTACCTGAGCACCACCTCTGCATCAATTATGAGATCCGGATTTGTAATCAGCAACTCCACATGAAACACTCTGGGTGGCATACTCTAATTTCCTTGTATTTCCTCCAACTCATTTTGTATATCTAAAAGTGGTCATAAATCCACTTGTGAGCTATTACTCTTCCTACCCACTTCAAGCGACTTTTTAAAAGAAGTTATAAAAATTTTCCATCCTTCAGAAAATTTCCCTGAAGTTTTTGGCAAAATGATATTTAGTTGAATGCCAACTTCTTTACTGTTCCCATTGTACTTTTTCTTTTACATTTATTTCCTTAGACATGTGTCCTGAGTTCACTCTGCTCTTTTCTTTTTGCTAACTATGTTCATTATAACTTTATGTGCTTAAATTAGTCAATTCTAAATGCAGTTATCTTGGAAATAAAAACCCTTTAAAATAATCTATTATTTTACAAAGTAATTTGAAATAAAAATAGTCCAAGTTAAAACTGTGTGTGTGCTTGTGCACTTGTGTGTGTATGTATAGTGTGTTTTTATATAAGAAGCTTTAAAACTTTCTTATCTTGATTCTGACCTTCCATTTTCAATATACTTTACTTCTTACTGTATTGTGAATGTGCCCTTTCTCTATGTCTGAAAATCTTTCAACCTTCACCATCCATTCTAAGAATCAGCAATATGTTATGTTTTATAGAACCTTTCTTCTCAGGAACAGAGAGTGTTTCATATATATTACCACATTCATCCTTAAAATTTCTCTCACAACACCCATAGCCCCACCTAAACTATGCCTCAGTTGAAACCTCAATCTGCATCTTTAGTTCTTCCTTCCTTGACTGCTTTTTCTATAAACTCTGTAAATCACATTTTCAGAACACTGCATCTGTAGAAAATAAACATAATTCTATCACTCAAATGACTTTTCTTTCTAACCCCATTCTCAAGATTCACCACCTTTATTTCAAAACTGTGCCTTGTTCTACTTGGTAGGCATAGGAAACTGCTAATTCTCTCTTGAACTGCTCTGTCATAAGAGTAAAGTATTCTAATTAATAATATATTGTACCGCCCTCCCTCATATTTTGTGTATTTTGAAGTGAGGTCATACCTGACAATGCTCAGGGTTTATTTCTGGCCCTATGTTTAGGGATCACCTATAAGGATGCTTGGGGGATTACATGCGGTGACAGAAATGCAACCTGGGTCAGTCCTATGCAAAGCAAGCACTTTACGTGTTAAACAATCTCTGGCCCAAAACCTCCTTTTTATCTCAACTATCCCAGTTGTCCTTTTTCTAAGTCACAGGCATAATCCTTTCAAATTTATTTTCTTTTTCTACTAATGATTGGAGATTGCTATCTAAATTCATCAGATTTGTAACACTATAATAAATGCATTCTTGAAACCTCAGTCCTCAGTGTCAACATCTAATTTGGGGGGAAAGTTTGCCTAGAGGCAGTCAATTTGATGAATGCCCAGTGGATTGTCTCATTCAATCCATACTATAAACATAAGACCATAGTCATATTTTCTATACATGAGACAGGAAAATCAAGATTTTCAAAGGTTAAGTAACTTGCCCAAGGGCATGTAGTTCATACTTGAATATGAGTATAAAGTATAAAGACAGACTTAGCCCATATATATCACTTTCACTCTAGTTTCACAATTTTCTTAGATTAGAAGCTTATTGAAAAAAATTTACTTTTCACAGAATTCCTCAATTATCTATAAAACACCACATTGGGATTCAGTTCTCTGAATTTTAAACCGGTATAAAGTCTTTAGTTTTGCAAGACTTCCAGCATTCATATGCGAAAGATTTTCAGATTTAAAATAGCTGGTTTACTTTAATCGGACAAATTAATCAATCACCTGTTGCATTTACATTTAAAAATATATGTAGTGTACCTTATAAATAAATATAAAATCTTCCAAAATAATGTAAGAATAACATATGTTCTACAGTGGTTATTTTCCTCATTGTTTTTTTTTTGTCCTGAGCTATGTAGTCCATTTGTTTCATTTTTCCTAATGAAGAGGTCTGCTTGAATTATTTAAATATAGTCAGTTACAAATCACCTACTTTATTACTTGACATTTTCCCCATTACTGTTTATTTTGAAAACTTAATCAGAATTTCTATGTGAACTGGTTTCTTCTTATAAAGTTTTTTCTCTATATTCACTTTATGTAGCATCCTAGAGACATAAAAAACTATCTTAAATAAAAAGACACAGAGAGACAAATAAAACTAGTATTCAAGAAGTGTTTGGATAACTGTAATTATTGTATTAAAACAATCTTTTATGAATGCATAACACAGTGTTTATATTTATATTTATATTTAACAGAGTAAAGTAAAATTCCAAGTGCAATACCAAATAAAAGTACATGAATTTATTTCCCCACGTGATGCAATCATCTTATTTCATATGAGGATAAGTGGCAGATAAAAGAATAAGTGAATTATTTGAACTAAAACTACAAAAGGTCAAGAATAAAATTGTGACAAATTTCTTTAGTTTTTTGGTATAATGTCAGTGTTACAGCACAGAAGATAAACCATATTCCATAAATTAATTATTAGTACTTCTAAATCTTTAATAGGGTGGGCATTACAGATGATTTCACTGCAACAGTTGATATTTTATTGATATAAGAAAGACTCAAATGATCAGGGAAAATGAAGTTGTTTTATTTCCCCTCACTACATTAAGTATATCTCAGTAAATCTCTCTAACTTGATGCTCATTCCTTTTAAAAAAAATTTAAGAGGACTATAGTGTGCCAATTTCCCTTCCAGTCTACTTGACATAATAAAGACGGTGCTTGTGCATAATAATTGTTTCTTAACTAACTGAAACAATAAAAATAGTCTGTAGCATTTAAGCATTTAAAAATATTCTAAATCCGGTGCTCATTTAGGCAGCACATACAGTAAAATTGGAAACATACAGAAAAGATTAGCATGGCCCCTGCACAAAGATGACATGCAAATTTGTCAAGCATTCCATATTTAAGAGAGAGAGAAGAAGAAGAGGGAGGCTGTGCAGGGACGGGGTTGGGGAAACTAGGGACATTGATGGCTGGAAACGTTCACTGGTAAAATAAAAGGTGTTGGAACACTGTATTGACTGAAACCAAATCATGAACAATTTTGTAATTTTGTATCTCACAGTGATTCAATTTAAAAAATTGTAATATATATGTATATATATTCTATATCCTATATCACTGGATTAGCTTTAAATTATCTAAGGGCTATAAGTCATGTGGATGTAAAATTAGAGATAAATTTCTTATGCAAACATTTATACCATATGAAAGCCATGCAAATATTCCTTTCAAAGAAGAAAAAAAGGTTTTGTTTATTTTATTTCTCAAATTAAGTCCTTTCCTCTGAGCACAATTGCAAAGTACAGATTTACATATTTTTGACTGGAAACGAATTTACATATCACAAGGCTTCACAATGGGAAGATTTCAGGACACTGACACAGCCTAGGTAGCAGACTATTTAAAAAAAAAACAGACATGCAGAGAGTGAATTATTGCTGAACTTGACTTATTATATGTTTGGTAGGAATAACATGGAAATCCTTTCAATGAATAGTAACTGAAATCTAAACATCCTGAGTATGGAATGGTTTCAGTGGTGTTTAGATATTAAACTTGACCTAAAAAATAATGCAGTGTATGAGGACTGCAGAGAAAAAAACTATAAATGAGAAGGACTCTAAGGTTAGAAAAGTTACCACTGACAAAACAATTCATCTAAAAGAAGCACAGATTCTCCCATCCATCCTGTCAGCAAAGACGGAACAGGAGAACAAGAGGAAAGAGATTTGTCCTGCATTTCATTTGTGTAAGTAGAAAGAGTTTTAAAGTTTGTTATATAAATGAACTTGCTACAAAGATCAAAATGATGACATTTAAAGGTAAAAATGCCAAATAGTAGATCCTATTCATCAAACTCAGAAAGTTTAGAATTTAAAAAGGGACAACTTTTACTTGCTATTCATTTGGTAACATTTGCACAAAATAATATATTGCCACAGATTGTCAGCGAACTGACACTCTGCCAAGTAGTCTTTGATTCCAATTTGTAAAAGAGTAAGATGAACAAAGGATATCAGAATCCACAGGGAGAGAAAGACTGAGACAAGACATAGGATCATAGAGTCCATAGAATTTTAGAGCTAGAAGGAATGTAAAAAGCGATCTCATCTTTTTTTTCCTATATCTTTTTAGAAAAGCAGCTCAAACAAGTAATAATAAGACCCTCCTCAAGGGCACACAGTTAGTAGGTGACTGATTATCATACTATAAAGTAATGAATTATTCTAATAAAGCAAATGTGAGAAAGAGGTTATATATAACACATGAAAGCACATTAAATATAAAATTATTTTTCAATATCTGTATTTATATATAGTTCAAATGACTTATAAGTCATTTAAAGGAAAAACTTTAAAGGAAAAAGTCACTACTTTTCCCATGTTCAAAGTTTTAAAGGTGAACATGACTAGTATTTGTACTATTCTTTGAACTAATTTTAAAATAATTTTGAAAAATGTATTTTCTGTCATCTTCTTTAAAAGTATAAATCATATAAATGCTATATTCTTTAAAAATTCAGACACTTAAAATTTATCATTTAGTAAAAGTTGGGTATTAAGTACATTTCAAACACAAAAGTGGAATCACCATATTTGTACAATTACTAGAACACACAATTACACACAATTTGTACAATTACTAGAACACACAATTTGTACAATTACTAGAACCAATTGCTATTGTATGTACATATAATTTCATGTAGTTATTTGCACCATACTATAAATTTTATGACATCATATACCTGACACTTCTTTCTCTTTGCTTCTGCTATTTATTGTTTTATAAAATATTATTAAATATTGTATCTTGACTATCTGCCTTTTACATAAATGAGTGTTTTGCTATTTCTAGATGCTGTCAAAATACTGCATTATTTTGAAAAAAAAAAGTCCTTAAGCTTATAAATGTCAAGTATGCCTCTGGGTTTGTTAAGGGACTACAACAATTTTTTCACCTAAATCAAGGAGTCACAGGATTAATTATTTCCACTGATTGTCTCAATGCCAAATGAACACTTGGTGGGGAAGGAGTAAAACAGTCTCCCTTTCAGCTTGATTTCAGGGGCATCACAAGTTCTTGTGGCAACCTGCACTTTCCCTAGCCATGGGACAGGACCCAAAACAGCCCAACGTGCAGAATGTTTTTTTGTGTGAACTCAACTCTGTTCTGGTGATTCTACAACATTAGCCGGTTCTGATTGATTTTCTCATAGGAAAACAGAAGGAAACAGAGACAGAAAGGTGATTGGAAAGGTGGAGATACTCATCATCATTAGATCATTAGATTCTTTGTTTGTCTTTTTTTTCTGGGTCACATCCAGCAATGTTCAATGTTTACTCCAGGTGGGCTTTGGAGACCATATGGAGTGCCAGAGAGCAAACCTGTGTGGACTTGCCTGTTCCATTATTGCTCTGGTTCTTAAAGTCAGTAGATTTTTTTTAATTTGGGGGGTTGGGGGTTGGGTGGGCACCAGTAGTGCTTAGGGCTTACTCCTGGGCCTGCACTCAGAAATTATTCCTTGTGGTGCTATGGGGACCATATGGGATGTTAGGAATTAAAACTGCATAGACCATGTGCAAGACAAGTGACCTACCATCTAGACTATTTCTGATAAAAAAGAGTCTAATATCATCACATTCTTTATTGCTGATGCTAAAGAGAAAAAATTATTTAAAAAAATTGCTGAGGCTGGAGCGATAGTAGAGTGGGTAGGGCGTTTGCCTTGCACGCGGCCAACCCAAGTTCTATTCCCAACATCCCATATGGTCCCGCTGAGCACCACTAGTAGTAATTCCTGAGTGCAGAGCCAGGAGTAACCCCTGTGCATCATCAAGTGTGACCCAAAAAGCAATGAATAAATAAATAAATAAATAAATTGCCGTTCAATAATTTTTAGATAAAAGTAATGTGTCAAATGTGTCCTAGAACTGTTCAGATCCCAGATAATTCCCTGTTATAATAACCATGAAGACCTATTGGTCATTTTTTACTTTGAGTCAATAAAACACAAAAACCAAAGTCTTACATAGCCAGGGTGTCTGCCTACAGACTCTTAAACTAGAAAGAGAAAGGTTTTCAGTGCTTAAGTGGTGTGTGTACAGCAAGCTTTTAAACGAAGAAACTGACTTTCAACTTTGTTATCGACTTAATTTCAAAATGCATGTTATCCAGGAACATGAGTCTCAAATGCATATATAAAGCATCTATTTTCTACTCTGCTATATAGGAGAGGAAAACAGACAAGTCTGTAGAATTTGGTATTTGAAAAAAATTTCACACAAACTTTTGTTTGCTAAGACCAGCTAACATGCCATTTGCTGAGATGAGATAAAATATGACAATCAAGAACACCTCAATCTTTTTTTTTATTTTAAAAGCATAGATTTATCAGTTTTGGTCATGTGGCTCAGTCAGAAAAATTTATCTTCAGAACTACACCAATATTGAATAAACTTCTAACTCTGCTAGTGCCCAGTGAGAATCCAGGCTAATTTCCTGATTTGTTAAAAACCAGGATCCATTTTAGGTACTTGACAGGGCTCCTAAGTAGTGGATAAAGTTCACCACTGAATAGAAAATGTCTGCTACAATGCCTGACATTTAAATATTGGCAGTTCGCTTACCACTTCAGTTTTGACTAGAGCTGTGTAAAACAGCATTTTTAGCTCTTTGTTATATTATAAGCCTTATTACAACTCTAATAGAGTTGAGATTTATGTATTGGTCGCTAAGTTATTCTATTAAATCCGTGAGGTAAAGTTAAAGCTGAGGCTGCTGTGATCATTCTAGAGACAGCTATAGGGAATATAACACACACACACACACACACACACACACACACACACACACACACACTCAGATGATTCCCAATTCCCAACACTGCTTCCCTGCTTTGCAGGAATGAAGAGTGCCGGTGAAATCTTGTATGCACTACCAGAGTTCTAATACCCCTTGTGTAACCCTGGGAATTTGACTCATCTCTTCAAATCTTAGGATCCTCATTAAAATTCTAATGATAAAATAAAACTGAGAGGCAGGTGAAATCTTTGGGGTGGTAGGGCAAACAGGGTAAACAAACACAAGGAAGTATGTTAAAGCAATGAGATGCAAAAGACTCATCAAAATATCAATGCATCTTTTCAAAAAGCAAGAAAGGCATTAGCAATCAGAATAAAATTTTGAACACAAGACTATTTAAATTAAAATACACACACAAAAAAGGCAACATTGACTGGAATATAGGATTATGAGGCATGCCAATGGTGACATTAATAATAAGAAATCAATGGTAAATTAATAAGAAAATAGCATTAATATTAGAAAGCTAGTAAAATGGAATACTCTAGGTTGGTCCAGTCCATAAAAAAAGAAAATGTGTATGAGCTATTATAATAAGTTCTTTATACCTTCTGTTAAGAGAGACATCTGCAATATATAATAGGACAACTGATGATGAGAAAAAATCTTTATCTGAAAGTTTAATTTATAAATTACTATAATTTTAATTCCCTAAAGCTATATTAGCAGCATCAGAAAAACATGAGAATAAGAAATAATATGACAAGAAACAAAGCAAACTATGTATTAGCTAATTGATGAAAAATATCAAAAACTCCTATTTCTGCTTGGTAAATTACAAATTAATCATTTATAAGCTTTTGGATCTGACTAGTCAACAAAAAAACTATAATGAAGGCTAATTATAATGCTTAAGGATTTGCAAAGATTTTAATCTCTATGTTATTTATAAATCTTGCAATTAATATATTTTCAAGAATAGACTGTACAACAGGTAATATTTTCTTGGCTGTCCTAATTCATTTAATTAAATAATATTATAAAATTGAAGTCTCGATGATGACAAAAATTTTATTTCTAAAGTAAGATGTCACATCTT